CCCCAGTTCAGCAGTAACCCATGGTAGCGGACCGCCCTGCTTTGCAGCAGCACACAGCAATGGACAGTGCCTGCTTAGTAGAAACGCACATCTGGGAACAGCGCCTGTCTCAGCAACAGCTGCAACCAATTACCTTCCCCACCCTAAGGTCCTGAACTTCACAGCCTACTGCTCGGTGGGCATGATACAGCCTTATCACAGTAACAATGGAAGCTGTATCTGTCACCGCTGGTATGCATAATAATGGCCCAACAACATATCTAAAAGCCCTGATGCAGGGACCAGTGATATGCCCCCTTGGGGTCCAGCCACGATTCGGAGCACAGGCTGTGATCCTCGGGCACAGGGTGTGGCCGGAGGACAAAAACTCCAACTCCTCGAGACTGGTGTGCAGCAACGGGCACCCGCAGCGGCAACTGCTGAAGGAGCGAAACACAGCTCCTGAGTGCAACAGCTCGTTGCTATCTGAACCAGCGGCAGCGAGTCACAGCAGCAATAACCTCTCCCTAACTCAGTCACAGCACACGGTGATGCCCCGCGTCGCACCGCAGCTGTAGCAGTAGTGCTAAAACCAGTGCCTGCACAGTACCAGCGTCCAGCCTGTGTACAGCGAAGGCCTGCTCCACTAATAGTCAGCACCTTAGGCGTACGGCAAACGCTTAGCAGATATACAGCTAGATGCAGCGTAATGGCGCAGGTAGACTTGACAGCCGTAGCGGTATCAAACGCAGTAATAAAACTCGCAGCAACCACCGTAATGCTGAACGCCACGGTAACCCGCAAGCAGTCTGAGGCAAGCTGCCTAGCAAGTGCAGCAATCCACTGCCGGTAGAGCACTCAGTAGGACTGTATGGCAGTAGCTCAGCGAACGCACACCCACACCCAGCCTGTATACTGGCCGCTCGAACCAGCGGCAATGGCAGTTGTTAGTAATAGTCCCAGTAAGCTCGCAGAACCAGTAAGCACCCTCTCAGCCCGCCGATGATACCGGCCACCTCACCGTCCTTTATTCAGACACGGACGAGACACAGCCCTACACGACAAGACACCCCTCTTCATTATAAAGGCCAAAGAGGCATTGGTATATGTTTGAGAAACACTTCGTAGGTAACTAGAGAGTGAATATACCCACCAATCACAGTTACGGCCGACCAGGGCAACCAAACTGTGCACAAGTGGCTCATGCCCCGTGCCGACCCAGCCTCCTACAGATGCTGCCCACCGCGGAAAATCCCACACTAACTCTTGCCTATGCGTTTCCACCAGTAGCAGGTGGTTTTTCTGTAAAGCGCTCACGCGCCTACGGGGCTATGGGGCTTCACTGAGGCCTTTCAATCTCCGTTGATGAGAACTTTCCTAGGTGTCCGTTCAAACATATACCACATCAGAAAAAAAATATCCCACACCAACTTGGGACCAACGCAGTGTGAACAACCTGACAACCCACTAAGACCCGAACAGCCTGTTACAAGCTTGCAAAAGGACAGTATTGCAAACCGAGCACGTACAGGTCTGCAAACTAAGCCTATGAAACCAGGACAGGACAAACCTTGGAAAGCCCCACACTCAACAGGTCGAAGAGGAGAGTCCTGGTGATTCAGCGTAAGTCTTCAATTTCAATACCAGATGTCCCAAGAGCTAGGGAATGCCAAGACAAGAGCTGATTTTTCTAAATTTACAGAATTTCATTATGTTGTCCGGCTTCTCTAATTTCGACTCAGTAAAGGCACGACACCGCTTCAGTGTGCCGCACAGTGCACGGCATGCAGTGAGACATTCTAGCATGCGCTGAGAGGCGAGTTGGGCGAAGACACTCTGGCAAAGATGGGCGCGGCCTCGAGGGGGGCAGAAATGGGCGACGGCGGTGAAAAAGTCAAGTGGCAGGGTGGCAGCTCTCTCTCTCTCTCTCTCTCTCTCTCTCTCTCTCTCTCTCTCTCTCATCTATATGACTCGCCTCCAACTAGCTCCCAATCAGCACAACTGTCTTAAACTGTCACAACATGCAATCAGGACTCTCTCTCTCTCTCTCTCTCTCTCTCTCTCTCTCTCTCTCTCTCTCTCTCTCTCTCTCTCTCTCTCTCTTTCTCTCTCTCTCTCTCTCCCCCTTCAGCGCACTTACTTTGCACACATACCCCACAATCGTCCGAGAAAAAAGAAAAGAGAAAAAAAACAAATAAGGACGTACCTCCGCCTAAAAGCCGACCAGGTGCATGGCTCGATGTACTTGTGTATGGCAACACACAGGCATACTCAGTCTCTGACCACTACCGGACAGCCCAGCGGCAGTCATGAAGACGAACACCGCGGCTGGCCCCTGGGCCCAGCCGTAGTCGAGTATGGAGGCAGCCTGCCTCAGCAAAACGAGAATGAATCCTGGGCACGACCACGTAGATATACTCAACTCCTGGTCACGTCCACGGAGAGTTAGAACGAGGCTACTTCCTTTGATCGACGAGCCATACGCACTGGCCAACCAGTAAGTCTTCAATCTCACAGCTCCCTCTCGCTTGCCCCACCCCCGAGAGCAAACCCACAGCGAACCTCACAGCAGACTACGACTAGATACAGATCTTTAATTTCCCTATAAAGAGGGCGCAGCTCCTGCAACGTGTATCAAGCAGACCAGCGCTTAGATCAAACTCCCGACGTGGCCAATCAACCCAGAACGGGTTGAAACCCTTAGTCCAAGTTCTCACTCGCCCGTTTTCGTTAAGAAACGGGCGAGATCTGCCTTTTTCAAAATAGCCATATCCAACATCCCAACCTCTCCGCGCACCACTTCTCCTCCTTTTCTCCCCTCTTCACTAAGTCTTCCCTCAAGCCAACATCACCAGCGAGTTCGCCCAGCTTCAAAGCCTCAGGCTAGCACCTCCCTCTGCCAAAATTCGTCAAGAAGTAAGCATGCTGCAGCCTGTCACTCAGCCATATCTTCTAGCCTCGTCGTTTGTCTTCTCCCCCCTCCTTCGAATGCACCTGGCGCGGAACCACGTCCACGTTCATCCGTATGTTATTGTAGTCTCAGCTCTCTTCGTGCAGCGCTCTCCTGCGCTCTCTCTTCCCCCTCTAGTCCTCCCTTATCTCTCCTCCGTTGCCCCTACAGTGCAGCGCTCAACGATCCACTAGACCGACGGGACACACAGCGACAAGTGCCACAGCAAGCACCAATGGCGGGCCGTACCCCGGCTTTATACGTATCACTCCTGCGAAGTGCCCTGCTAATCCTCTCTGTGTCGGTCCGATTTCAACAGATGTCCCTAAGGACCTACGCCCGAACAGCTCTAGTATCTGTGCATCTACGAATAGCGCCCCTTTTACCGGCCAGGTTCGGGTCCACACCTTCAACAGTTCAGTGGTGTCTCCACTGAACTAGGCTGCTGGCTATATCGCCGGTCCCGGTACCGGTACCCGGCCTTATCCTATAAAAACAAAAGTACATAAAAATAGGAAAAATAAGAACTTTTAAAACTCAAAAATAAAAACTAAAAAGTACTAGCAAAAAGAAAACGGGTGAGGGAGAGGACCGTTGGTGCTGGGCCCTAGGCCCCGCCTTATGGGCCCGCTGTTGGACTCCCCTGCTAAAGCCAAGGGGGATGGTCCCATGGCACCCTCAACCCCTCGGCTCTCCTGCGCTGCTCCGCTGCTCCGCTCTGGCCTCGATCCCGGGATCCTCCTAGTGATAGCTCAACAACGTAACCTATAGGGCTAAGCCCCAGCCTGGTTGTAGCAGGCGCAGCCCTCCATATGAAGAGGATCTGCTGCATGCCCAGGCCCACACGGGTGTGCCAAGGCCCCCACTTGGCCTACTCCTCAACCTCAGGGCCCCGTACTGTCGCGTTCCGTTGCCTCGTGGGCAGACGCAGCTTGGCTCACCACGCGTGTCGCCCCTCTACGCCATGGTCGCGGCCCGAGGCTTTCATAGCCTGCCGCGGCCGGCCCTTTTACTACCGCTTCCTCCGGAGGAACCTCGCTTGTTGGTGCCATCCTCACTTGACATTAGCGGCGGCCCCTACCGACGAGGCCCGGTCAACCCGGTGTCCGTGAATATTTCACACAGCGCCGCTCTAAACGTCGGCCCCTAGCAATCAGGCACTATCACCCTCTAGTCACAACCTTACTTGGTTAACTTCTACGCTGTCCGTAACTTTGCCCGTGTGGGCGAGGCTGCGACCGTCTTGGAGATTCTAATCCAACACTTACTTACCCTACCGGCGTCTCATAGCCTTCCCTGACCAATCGCCCGGTCAAATTAATGCGTGCCCGCAAAGTGCACGCTCACACACTCTCTAATCAACACATATGGGACGCGCCCCCAGATATCGTCAGGCGCGCTCTTCCTGTAAGCTGCGAAAATGTGCCCAAATACCCTTGTAAGGGTATTCGGGCCGAGAGCGGGCACTAGGCTTGCTGGGGCCTTAGCCCAGAACATGACATCATGGCAAGGCCCCCTTATTGAGGGCATCAATCCTCACATTCCATACCCCTTAGCTTCGAAAGTCCGCTGAGATGCTTACTTCGCAGGTGCCTTCCCTTTCAGCAGTCTCTCATATTCTGCCACCACCTAAGGAGCTGTCTCAATCAGTTCCTCTCTGGTAAACCACCGATCTTCTTTTGGATCCGTATGATGCCTGAATCTGACGCGATACTCTCTCTTGGGCTTAGGAGGTCTTCCTCGACCCAGCGGCTTCGGAACAGGCATATCCTTGTGATCCACAATGTCGTCGATGTCCACTTGACCATCCATGGTTGGGGGCAGCATCGATCTCCTGGAAGGGAATTGATCTGTCTCAGCGAAAGGTGCAAGCTTTGAGGCATGAAAGACTGGGTGAGTGCGTAGGTGTCCAGGGACACGAATGACATATCTGGGGCCATCAATCTCATCTCCCACTATATCCAGGACTTCCCAGGGACCAAAGTACTGAGGCATTAGTTTGCGAGAGATTCTGAATTCCTATCCTAACTCACTAACCTTGACCCAGACACGTTCCCCTACCTGAAATATGGACTGTCTACGGTGTTGATTCTCAGAAGCAATCATTGCTTGCCGAGTTTTCTTCATGTTCTCGACAGCTTCTTGCAGCAACTTCTCATACTGCACACCATACTCAAGTGTGCCTGGAGTTGCAGCGGGTCAGTTTTCAGGTAGGAGGAAGTCTAATGCTGATCTAGGCTTCCATCCCAAGTGTAGCTGATTAGGACTAACGCCGACACTGCTATGAACAACATTGTTGTACTGGCTGCCGATGAGAGGCAACTGCTCATCCCAGTCATTCTGGCTGGGCTTGATGTAATGCCTCAGCAAATGCTGTACGACTCTGTTCATTTGCTCGGCTTGTCCGTTGGCTTCAGGATGATTCCCTGAAGTCATCTGAAGTTGACTGCCCATCTGTTCAGCAGTCTTCTTCCACAGCTCACTTGTGAATCGGACATCTCGGTCACTAACGATTGACTTTGGTAAACCAAAGTCACGCACCCAGTTGTCTTTGAACAACTTGATGACATAGTCAGTTCTTGCGGTCCCTGGCATAGCCACTAGTCTAGCGTACTTGGTGAATCGATCGATGATGACGAAGATGTGCCTCTTGCCACTCTTACTAGTCACCAGGGTGTCCATGAAATCCATGGAAACACTCTGTCCTGGACCAGCAGGAATAGGCAAAGGCTTCAACAACCCAAGCGGTGCTTGAGTTCACGGCTTGTCCCGCTGACAGACCTGACAGGTCTCTACGTACTTCTTTGCGTCATCTAACATTCCTGGCCACCAAAATCGCTGTACTAGGTTAGCACTCGTCTTCTTGTAGCCAAAGTGCCCAGTTGCGTCATGACATACGCCTAAAAACAAACTACGCAATCGCATACCAGATGGAACTAATAATCTTTTTATTCTGACCTTATCAAGATAGAGTAACCCGTCCACCATCACAAACTCACTTTCCGTTGCCTTGTCTTTAGCCTGAAGTTTGCGCATGATGTCCATCGTGACAGGGTCTTCCTGATAGGCTCCCACCAATGATTGAGTTACTTCTTCAGATACGCCAAAGTTAGAAACTAGCGCACCTAGGTAGTCTGCTCTACGTGATAGCGCATCAGCAACCTTGTTATACTCTCCCTTCAGATACTCAAGCTTGAAGTCATATTGGTCTATGACCTCAATCCATCGCTTGAGTGCGTCAGAAAGAGCCGGTTGACTCTTGATCCATTTGAGGGTCTGGTGATCAGTCCTCAAGTAGAAGAACCTTCCCAATAGGAAGTGTCTCCAATGGACAAGTGCTTTGTATAGAGCATAGAGTTCCCTTTCGTAGGTGGACTTTGCCAACTTCTTCAATGGCATCTTCTTGCTCATGTACTCAATCGGTCTCAACTTTTTCCCATCCTGCTGAGCCAGCACTGTGCCAATGCCATATTGGCTTGCATCAGTGGTCACTATGAATGGCTTCTGAGGACCAGGAACCATGAGGACCTCATGATTCATGAGTGCATGCTTCAGTCTCTTGAAAGCACCCTCGCACTCATCACTCCAGTCCCACGGCGTGTCAAGTCGAGTTAGATCAGTCAAAGGAGAGGCGACTTTAGAATAGTTCTTAACGAAGTTCCTATAGTAGCCGCACATTCCTAAGAATGATGTGACCTCAGTGACTGTCTGAGGTCGTGGCCAGTCTCGAATACTAGCCACCTTCGCATCTTCCGGCCTAATCCCTTCCGCGGATACCTCATGACCCAAGTATAGTATCTTAGTGCGACCAAACTCACACTTCTCTAAGTTGACCTTATACTTGTGTTGTCGAAGGAGTGAAAGTACCGTCTCAACATGTTGTGCATGGTCCTCGACAGACTTACTAAAGATCAGAATGTCGTCTAGATAGACCACGACAAACTTATCTAAATGGTCATGGAAGATCCGATTCATAGCGTGCTGGAATGTTCCCGGCGCATTGCAAAGACCAAAAGGCATCACTACAAACTCATACAGACCATAAAGAGTTTGGAAAGTTGTCTTGTGTTGGTCCTCAAGCCTTATAGCGATCTGATGATAGCCAGATTTCAAGTCTATCTTATAGTACTTGCATCCCTGCACCCTATCCAATAGGTCGTCTATGCGAGGTAGAGGCTCTGCGTTCTTCACAGTGATGGCATTGAGGCCTCTATAGTCAATGCACATCCTCAATGTACCCCCCTTCTTCGGTACGAATAGCACGGGAGATCTGTAAGGGGAAGTACTAGGCCGAATCCATCCCTTTTTTGTCAGCTCCTTAAGCTGTCGCCGAAGTTCATCTAACTCGGCGGGAGCCATCCTATAGATCCTTCCCTTTGGGGTCTTACTCCCTGGAATGATTTCTATAGCGTGGACAACTTCCCTTTCAACAACTCCTGTGGGCTCTTCGAACAGATCAGGGAACTTAGCAACGGCGCGTTCTATCTCTGTAGAACGCTGATGCACACAAGCAGCCATAGGTATCTATAATACTACTGGCCTTGAACTTAGTCAATCTGAAAGTTCGGCCATCGGGCAACTTATGCTTGAGCACCTTCTTATCCCAGTCGAACTGGGGCTTAGCAACTTCGAGGTAGTACATGCCTAACAACATGTCGAATGGTAAGTCGTCGCTAACCAAGAACGAAATCTTATGATTAAGTTCTCCTCCTCCATAGGAGAAGGTACAGACTACGTCCTTGATATAGTCTGTTACAATCATGCGCTCCTTGTTTGCCAAAGTAGATGCAACAGGTCTACTAAGGTGCCGTACCCGGTCCTGTAGGTGCAGCCTTTCCAAACAGTCGCGACTTATGTAATTCCGCGTAGAGCCTATGTCTATGAAGGCACCACATTTGCGGCCTCCTACATCGACTTCCACCACGAAATGTTCCCCTCCAGGACCTTTCCTTAGCGCCACCCAAGACTCGCGAGGGTCCTTGTTTGACCACTCACTCTCCAAGTCTTCTACGGCATCGGACACATCTAACGTACAGAGCATAGTTTGGTCTAGATGAGTCTGCGGGGTGACTAAAGAGTCGTTAGCTTTGGCCTTCTCGTGAAGTGGGGAGGGTATCTGGCCCACTTCACCAAGAGCAGAAGCAGCTAAAACTTCCACTGGCCTCACGCGTTTCCCGAGCTAAAAGCCTGGAAATAAGATGCCCCCATTTTTGGAGGTATCTCTTGCGTAACCTTTGCGTTCTGGCACTTGTACTGCGAGTGACCGTATTCCCCGCAGTTGATACAAGCGCCACGCACTCGGCGGTCACGCCACACGTCTTGATCAAGACCTGCGTTCACCCAATCAGCCACTTTGGTCTGGTTGGAGGCGGCCTTCCCTTGACTCTTTGGTTGGCCCTTCCCTCGGCCACCTGCCTTAGCCTTTACAAGTGTGGCGAGGGTGCTACCCTCAGCGGTCTCCTCGCCGTCGTACTCTGAGTAGTCCATCAAGTCAGTGAGCTCATCGATTTCCGTTTGAGTCCCATCGGACTCAACCATCATGAACTTCGCCCCCTTCTTCTTCCACTCTTGAGGACTCCTCTTCTTCTTCGTGTCATTGTGGGAGGGCTGAGCATTGCCTAGGGCTTTCCTAGACAATGTCTCAAACGAATGGTACTCGACGCGTGCCTCACTGGCCAGCAAGTTCCTGATGTTCTCTGGAAGACATCTAACAAACGTAGTTAACAGGAACTGGTCACTGTTGTTGATGCCTGGAACGAGGAGCAGGCTCTCAACGGTAGTCGTAAGCTCTCTAACCGACTTGAACTTTCGTTGGTCTAACTTGTTAATCGCATCAGTGGCTCTTTGTGCCTCCTGTGGATTATGCCATGGAGCTTCTACCATCTCCATGAACTGGTCTAACGTTAAAGACTTAGCCCAGTCCGCCATGCGCCGCCCGTACTCGGCCTTTACAACTACACCATCTAGCCACTTGGCTGCCTTACCGTCGAGGTAAGATGCAGAAGTAACCACTTCGTCCTCCAGCAAGGTCCTCTTGGCCGTCACCCAAACCGGGACTGTCCTCAACCAAGTGTTAAGCTCTTCGTCCTTTCTCTCGCCTGAGAAGGCAAGAGGCGATTTCATTGGGGTCTTAGGATACCATTGACCTTGCGGCTGTCCCTGTTGAGGAACAGGTTGTTGCGGTGGTGTAGCTCCCACCGCTGGACCCGAAGAAGAAGATGCAACAGTCTGTGCGGCTGCTGCAGACGTACCACTTGGCTGTGTGCCAGCTTGAACTGGAAAGGGGCCTGACATCGCCGATAACGGCAACGGCGATTGTGCTGGTGGCGTGAATCCTGGCCTTGTTAAAACATCCAGGATTTGGTCTAGAGTGCTTTGCATGAGGTCCAATTTGCTGTCCACGTGCGCATGCAGCGACAACATATTCTTCTTTAGTGTTTTCATCTGGTCAGACAATGCTGACTCATCCAAGCCCTCTAACTCAGCCTTGTCAGCCTCTACAGTATCAAGCCTGGCTGCTCTATTTTTAATCTCCCTTTCTCTGTCGGTAGTTTGTTTCAGTTCCCTCTCTAATCGTTCACGGATCCTTTCGACCTGTTGGAGCTCCCTGAGCTCCCTTTCGCAAGGAGTCAACGGGCTGAACTGCGAGCCCGCCATTTGACTTGTAGACTGACGAGAACMCAACGAACTGGAAGTACCCGTGGACCCTGTTGGCATTCCCAAATGGGTCCCATTGGTCCCAGACAACGCAGCAGAGGATGCTGCTGAACTAGTCATGGCGGCTGCCCTGACTGCTGCTGCAGCCTGTTCCCTAGCTACGGAGTTCGCTATTTCCCTAGCTGCTGCTAGTGCACGGGCTCTGCGTAGCCGTCTTTCTTCTCCCGGTTCTAAGGCCTGGAACACGTGCAGGATCCTAAGTGATCTAGCACATGTGCGTCTAGCATCGTCAACTCTCTCCTCATCGACGTCTGACCTGTTCATCAATTAGGCAAACATTATCTGTACTAGAACCCCCTAGTGGAGTCCTACCACAGCATGTGTCTGACCGACACCTAATTTTCTAAGAATAGTTGTGCCGGCAAGTCCCCTACTGTACCGATCAAGTGGCATGTCTGCAACATTCACAACAGATTGTCTACATAGTCTAGATGTACTCTGATTGGTTCACTTACAGCAGCATTAGACAGAACTGGCTATGGTAGCATACAATAGTCCTAATCTAATCTGTTTGTGAGGTGTTAGCAGTCTGTCCACCAACTAATCAAGAATACAAAAAGACCATGTAGCAGATGTATGATGAGTGGGTATGGTTGTGTATACAGTTGAGCACCGATTAGAACCTACCCTTCCCCTCAATCCAACATACCGGTAAGCATCATTGAGCGAGCAGTGTCTTCGTGTGTGTATCGGCCCACCCCTGTGCCCAAGTCGTAGCCGAGCAAGCCAGCCAGTCCACTCTTATTTACCCTCGTACGGAAACGAGCCTTACACCCGGTTGATCTGGCTGATCAGGAGGAATTTATAGAGCGCCCCCATCTCTTCAGGAATTCTTTAACGTCGCAGTCAGGACGACGATCACAGCCAGAATCAATCCGAGTCCCCAACCAGAAATGTTTATAGACGGTCTGGTAAGCGTCTCATAAAAGGCTGGCACACCCGGCAGGACTTCTATTCGGCGCAGCAAGTGCCAAAATGGACAGCAGCCATCGCATGCGTGACCTACTCCCATTGGGTTGGCATGGTGACCGTGACCCAGTGCTTCGACCAGGGCCCTTCAGAGGCACCGCCCTTTCTCCTTCCAGATGCTTTCGGGAAGATTGTCGTCTCTCAAGGTAGCGCGCTCACGACACCTCACCAAAAGAGAGGACTCTCAAGTTGGACTCACTTCCTCACGGTAAGAAGAGATTGAGAGAGTAGATAAGGTAAGGGAACAACGTACCTGGAGATAGCTGCCCCCAACCACAGATTTCTCACATATTGAGCTGAGTGTGCATTTGATGACCGGTCTTGGCCTCGGTACCACCCACAACGCGATGCAGTGCCACCTCAGCCGAATGCCACATCAGCATGCTCTCATCACCAATCATACATTCCGCCTTTCACCACGGCATACATTGTCGTCTTAGCCTCCCGTCGCACCCCTCTCTACCTAGGGCTTGCGCCTATGTGGCCTGACGTCACAAGTACCAACTGCGAAGAAGCATCGTCAACGCACCAAGTCTGTATAATGCCAGCGTGCCAAAGGTAAGTGGCGAATCAAACCAGCTCCGATACCAAATTGCAAGGAACATGAATATGGACGAAGCACAAAAATCCAGATTGCAAAATCACACTGAAGTCCAAGTAGTCAAAGCCAGAGCAGATAGCACAATGGAACCGAGTAACCATCCATTTGAGCATGATACAGAAGAATCGTGAGTCAATGTCCATGCCCAACAGGGCAACACCAACAGCATAACCCAATGTAGCTCTCTCTTGTGAATGGCGCCAGGCGCCCTATCTACTCTACAGCCTAAGCCTACAACTACAGCAATGAAAGCAACCAGACAACTTGACTACCAGCGAGTGATGATGTCAACACCAATGCCGACCTCCACCTCCACCAGGTACGTGTCCTCTTCACCCACACTCTCCCTTGTTACCCACACAGCGCCCTTCACCTCCGAAGAACCACCTTCGGCCTCACCTCCATTGCGCCCTATGCAGCCCGGCTATGGCCGCCAAGCGCCCAGTACACAGGCAGCGCCCTACCGCCTAGCGCTAGCCTGTCTCATCCTAGCGCAGCGCAGCTCTGCACAGCGCAGCACCTCACATTCGCGCAGCGTGCCCGCAATGCCTGCATTGGCCAAGATCCCTGCCCACTCGCTCTGCTTGCCTATATGCCAGTGCTGTGTGTAGGCGGCCTCCCTTCAGCCTGCGACTGGGCCCCGGTGGCTGAACCCAGCCCGATACAGTTGAGGCCCGGGGCAATGCAATTGCGCCTCTTTCATCAAGGCCTGCGACCAGATTCAGATAGTGGGCCGATTTCCCTTTGGCATTTTCGGCCTCTATCCCCAGCATGCATTGCCGGCCTCACGTTCAAGTGCCCAGGGCCTAACTAACTCAGAGGCCCTGGGATCTCCACATTTGCAGAGATTCAAGACTCGGTGCACTCCAACCAACTGGCGTGCTGCGACTGTATGGACACCACTTCGGGAAATGTTTGCACAGAGGGCTCTTGTTGATTTGCTGGCCCGCCTTCACTTAGGGCGGGCACTAGGCTTGTTGGGGCCTTGGCCTAGAACATGTACATCATGGCAAGGCCCCCTTCTTGAGGACATCAATTCTCACATAATTTTTATTAGTTTTTATTGTTTTGGCCCGGCCGGGCAAGTGACCCCGGGCCAGTCTGGTAGCCAAGCTTGTTTCCATTTTTTTTATCATTTTAATTTTATTGCTTATTTTTAATTTCATCATTAAATTAAACAAAATTTTAGGCCCCAATTTCTTGTCATCAAGTCAGCGTAGAAAGGGTTGCGCGAAGGCTTACTAGCATGCGCTCGCTCCGTGGCTGGCTGGTTCGAAGACAGCCTCAAAACAAAGGAAAAGGGTAGGTTCCAAGCGCGATAGAAGCCATTGTCCGATTTATGAAAATCTAAGGGTTAGTATTAGTGGTTGATGAAGGGGAATTCAGAGTTCATCTCAGGACCCCTAATTTTCCCCGACGGTTTTAACAACCCCCCCCGAAGAATCTTAACTGGGCGTTCAGCTGAGGGCCCAATTCCTTTTATTTCGGGTGGCCGATTGGTTTGTGGCCACCCGACAACGCTGCTCAACCAGATGCTCAAAACGTCGGCACAAGTGACTACTCAAGAGGGACACAGGGAGAGGGAAAATTTTGGCAACTGTTCGCCGCTGGACTAATTAGGTAAACTACCATCCAGCATGCATCTCCATAGGTAATTTATTTTTATTTTTTATTATTCAGTTGTACGCACTTGGTGGCAACTAACAGACAGTTGCAGATAGGATAGACCATTCCTTGCTGCATTGCATTTTATTTTAGAATAATCTAAAAATGGAAACAAAATTATCGTTAGGACCTGACATTGGTTGCTGGTTACCACTTGACTACTTTTCTCCAAGTTAAACAATAGCACGAGATTTTGTTTTTTCCCCATGAATCATACAAATGCTGATAAATTTGTGTATCAATTGTTGTACCTTGCAATTCTCTAAAATCAAAGGCTCGAAGAGCGAGAGTTGTGAGATTTTTCGCTTCATATTTCAATTTGGGTTTTTTTGGTAATTTTAATACTAATTTACATATATTCCATTTATCATTTATGCAATTTATTCTATTATGCAAGGAATATGAGTGTGAGCGATATACATAAAACCAAGTTGCGAAATCACACAGCTGAGCAGGTAGTAGTACCCCAAGAGCAAGTAGTAGTATCCCAAGTAGAGAGTACAAATGCACCGAGAAAACCATCCATAAAGAGCAATACAATGAAGTATTGAGCCAATGTCCAAGCCCGTAGGCCACACCAACACACTATCCAAAGTCGCTCTCTCTGTCTCGTGCCCAGCGCCCAGCCTACTCTACCACACTATCCTACTCTACAACTGGTTCACACAACAGGATCACTTCGGCTCACGATGACCAATGTACATGACTGTCAATACCATCGACGACCTCTCTTCATGTACCACGTACGTATCTCGTCACCCTCAATCAGACCTTGATTATCCCACACAGCGCCTCACTCCATGTAGACCATCCGATCATCCGTTGTACCCCCTGGCGCCTAGCAGCCTGGCCGCCTGCGCCCCGCTGCCCTGCAATGCCCCTCTCACCACCTAGCGCTCCGCCAGCGCCCCTGGCATCAAGCAGAAGCGCAGCAGCACTTCCGCATTGCCAATGCTGGCCAGTGTGCCTACCCTGGGCTGCCTCACTTCCTTTATGGAAGTGGCAGCCTGATGGATGCTGCGTATGGCCTGGCTGGAAGCTTCCAGTAGCTTCCGGTTGGGCCTCAGACCCTGTGCTCAGGCCGAGACTTACAGTCGAGGGCCTGGGCCCTTTACATTTGGGCGCGGCCTGAGTCTCCAGACTTGGGCTGTTAGCTGCATCTACGCAGGGCCCCCAGGTAGATGCGTCGGCTGTACTGCTTTTCCAAAGGCCGATGGCCTGCTTCTCAATATATCGGCCCTGCTTTGTGTGTAGGTGCCTAGGCACAACTTTCGTGGCTTGGGCCAACTGTACGATGCAGCTTAGTGAGGCTCACGCGTTCACTCAACCAACTGACACGCTGCAAGAGCCTGAATACCCACATATGGAAATGTCGAATTTTGGCTTGTGATGAATATTCAGGCCCGCCTTCACTTAGGGCGGGCACTTGGCTTGCTGGGGCCTTAGCCCAGAACATGCGATGTCTGATAGGGCCCCTTGAGGGCTTGTTCCTCACATTCCATCCCCCTTAGCTTCGAAAGTCCGCTGAGATGCTTCATGCTGGAGCCTTCCCCTTTAGTTTCTTCTCATAATCTGCCACGATCTGAGGAGCTGTCTTAATCAGTTCCTCCCTTGAAATCCATCGATCTTCCTTCGGATCAGTGTGATGCCTGAAATGAACTCTGTATTCCCTCGCAGGTTTCAGAGGTCTTCCCCTGCCAGGTGGCTTTGGAACAGGCGTATCTCTGTGATCCAGGATGTCGTAGACGTCCACGTGGCCATCCATGGTTGGGGGCAGCATAGATCTCCTTGATGGGAACTGTGCTGTCTCAGCGAAAGGTGCTAGCTTGGAGGCGTGAAAAACAGGGTAAGTGCGTAGGTGACCAGGGATACGAATGACGTACGAGGGACCATCCAAATCATTCCCCACTATGTCTAAGACTTCCCAGGGACCGAAATACGGAGGCATTAGTTTCCTAGAGATGCCAAACTCCTGTCCCAATTCACTAGCCTTGACCCAGACACGTTCCCCTACCTGAAATGTGGATTGTCGGCGACGCTTGTTCTCAGAAGCAATCATGGCTTCCTGAGATTTCTTGATGGGTTCGACAGTCTTCTGCAACAGTTTCTCATACTGGACACCAAATTCAATGGTTCCAGGAGTTGCAGCAGTTCGGTTTTCAGGCAGGAGGACGTCTAAAGCAGATCTAGGCTTCCACCCGAGATGCAGTTGATTAGGACTGACGCCGGTGGTGTTGTGTACAACATTGTTGTACAAACTGGCGATGAGAGGTAATTTCTCATCCCAGTCATCCTGGTTGGGCTGGATGTAATGCCTCAGCAGATGCTGCACCACTCGGTTCATCTGTTCAGCCTGCCCATTTGCTTCCGGATGATTCCCAAAAGTCATTTGAAGCTGGCTGCCCATCTGTTCAGCGGCCTTCTTCCACATCTCGCTTGTGAATCTCACATCTCTGTCTCTAACGATTGTCTTTGGAAGTCCAAAGTCCCGCACCCAGTTGTCCATGAACAACTTGATGACGTGCTCAGTCCTGGCAGTCTCTGGCATGGCGATTAGTCTAGCGTATTTAGTGAACCTGTCCACTATGACGAAAATGTGCCTCTTGCCATTCTTGCTGGTCACTAGAGTATCCATGAAGTCCATGGAAATACTAGACCTGGGCCAGCAGGAATGGGTAACGGCTTGAGTAACCCAAGCGGAGCTTGAGTTCGCGCCTTGTCCCGCTGACAGACCTGACAGGTCTCCACGCATTTCTTCACATCGTCAAGCATGTTAGGCCACCAGAATCGTTGTACTAGATTAGCACTAGTCTTCTTATAATTGAAATGTCCTATTGCGTCGTGGCACTCTCCTAAAAACAAACTACGCAAAGTTTCCCTAGATGGAACAACTAACCTCTTGAACCCTGCCTTTTCAAGAAACAGCAACCCAGCCACCATCACAAACTCATCAGTGGTGGCCTTGTCTTTAGCCTGTTGTTTGTTGATGATGTCCATCGTGATGGGATCTTCCTTGTAGGCTTTATCCAACAGTCGAGTTACATCTTCAGATAGACCAAACTCAAAAATCAGCGCACCTAGGTAATTTGCCCTCCTAGACAACGCGTCTGCAACCTTGTTGTACTCTCCCTTCAAATAGTCTAGTTTGAAATCACATTGATCTATGACTTCAATCCAGCGTTTGAGTGCATCGGAGATAACTGGTTGAGTCTTAATCCACTTGAGTGTCTGATGGTCAGTTCTCAAGTAGAATAACCTTCCTAACAGGTAGTGCCTCCAGTGGACAAGTGCCTTGTAAAGAGCATAGAGTTCCCTCTCGTAGGTGGACTTTGCCAACTTCTTTGAAGGCATCTTTTTGCTCATGTACACGATCGGTCTCAACTTCTTCCCTTCCTGCTGAGCCAGCACTGCGCCAATCCCATATTGACTTGCGTCAGTGGTTACAACAAATGGCCTTTGCGGGTCGGGTACCATGAGAACCTCATGATGCGTGAGAGCATGCTTCAAACAAACGCTTGAAAGCTGCCTCAGACTCGTCGGTCCTGTCCCATGGTGGGTCGAGTCGAGTTAGATCAGTCAAGGGAGATATGATCGTGCTATAATTCTTTATGAAATTGCGGTAATAGCCACACATTCCCAAGAATGATCTGACCTCAGTCACTGACTGGGGTCGTGGCCAGTCACGTATGCTAGCCACCTTAGCATCTTCGGGCCTAATCCCATCCGCGGATACTTCATGACCCAAGTACAAGATTCAAGTGCGACCAAACTTGCATTTCTCTGAGTTTATCTTATACTTGTGCTGCCGAAGGAGTGAAAGTAGTGTGTCTACATGCTGAGCATGCTCCACGACAGATCTACTGAAGATAAGTATGTCGTCGAGGTACACGACAACAAACTTATCCAAGTAGTCATGGAAGATCCTATTCATGGCGTGCTGGAATGTACCCGGCGCATTGCAAAGGCCAAAGGGCATCACAACAAACTCGTACAGATCGTACCTGGTCTGAAATGCGGTTTTGTGTTGGTGCTCTGGTCTAATGGCAATCTGATGGTAGCCGAATTTTAAGTCTATCTTTGTGTAGTACTTACATCCCTGCACCCTATCCAATAGGTCGTCGATGCATGGTAGAGGCTCTACGTTTTTAACGGTGATGGCATTGAGGCCTCTATAGTCAATGCACATCCTTAGTGTTCCCCCTTTCTTTGGAACAAACAATACTGGTGAGCCAAAGGGGGAAGTGCTAGGCCGAATCCAACCCTTTTCTGTGAGCTCTTTCAGTTGCCGTCAAAGTTCGTCCAACTCGGCCGGAGCCATCCTATAGATTCTACCCTTAGGTGTTTTACTACCTGGGATGATCTCTATGGCATGGACAATCTCTCCGTCTACGACTCCTGTAGGCTCCTCGAACAGATTTGGGTACTTAGCGACGATGGTCTCTATCTCTGGGGGTGTTTTAACGGCCTCCCCTTTTGCAGAGACATAGACTAAGTACATTCCTTCCTCTTGGTTCTGTTTATAATAATTGTAAAAGGCAGATGTGCATAAGCACCCATAGGAGTCTACTAACCTACTGGCTTTGTACTTGGCCAGTCTCACGGTTCTCCCACTAGGCAACTCGTGCTTCAACACCTTCTTGTCCCAGTCAAACTGGGGCTTGGCAACCTCGAGGTAGTACATGCCCAATAACATGTCAAAGGGCAACTCGTCGCTCACCAGGAATGATATCTTATGGTTTATCTCTCTATGCGCTCTTTGTTGGCCAAAGTAGATGCTACCGGTCTACTAAGGCGCTGCACCCGGTCCTTTAGGCACAGTCTGTCAACGCAATCGCGACTTATGAAGTTTCGCGTGGAGCCAATGTCTACGAAGGCGCCGCACTTGCGACCACCCACATCAACTTCCACAGCGAAGTGCTCCCCTCTAGGACCTCTACTCAGTGCCACCCAGGACTCACGAGGGTCCCTTGCCGACCACTCACCTTGAAGGTCCTCTAAGGCCTYAGACACATCCAACGTACAGAGTATAGTTGGGTCCGGTTGCGTCTTCGTGGTGACTAAGGAGTCAATAGCTTTGGCCATCTCTTGAAACGGGGAGGGTACATCACCCGCKTCAACGAGAGTAGAAGCAGCTATAACTTCTACTGGCCCTAAGTGTTTCCCGAGCTGGAGCTCGTAGAGGCCCCAAATTGAGAAGAAGGAAACCCACCCTTAGGAGGGATCTTCTGTGAGACCTTCGGGTTCTTGCATTTGAACTGTGTGTGACCATACTCACCGCAATTAATACAAGCACCGCAAGACCAACGATCCCACCACGCTTCTTGATCCAGACCTGCTCTAACCCAAGCAGCTATTTTGTTTGGGTTAGCGGCCTGCCCCTGACTCCTTTGTTGACCGCCCTTGCCGCAGCCAACTGCCTTAGTCTTAACTATGGCGGCGAGGTTGCTACCCTCAACACTCTCCTCGCCGTCAAACTCTGAACCCTCCACAAGATCGGAAACATCATCGATCTCGGTTTGGTTCCCATCGGAATCAACCATCATCAATCGACTACCCTTCTTCTTCCACTCTTGTGGAGTCTTCTTCTTTCTCCCATCCGTAGAAGGGGTTTGAGCTCCACGCAGCGTAGCCTCTAAGTCTAGGGCCTTCTTGCTGAATGACTCAAATGTGTGATACTCTCTGCGAGCCTCGATGGCTAATAGATTCCTAATGTTTGTGGGAAGACATCTCAGGAACATGGTCAGCAAGACCTGTGGATTGTACTCCACTCCCGGGACGACGATCAGGCGCTCTACGGCTGTGGTGAGTTCTCGCACAGACTTGTACTTTCTAGTATCAAGTTTTAGGAGCCCATCAGTGGCAATCTGTGCCTGTTGAGGGTTGTGCCAACGAGCCTCCACTAAGTCCATAAAGCTTTCTAATGTGTGGGTATGCGCCCAATCATGCATGTTCCTGCTGAAGCCCTTTGAAGCTACCAATCCATTTAGCCACCGGGCTGCTGAACCCTCTAAGTAGGATGCAGCAGTAATCACTTCTTCTACCAATGTCCTTTTCGCCCTCACCCACACTGGCACCGTTCTCAACCATGTGTCGAGAGCCTCATCCTTCTTGTCTCCTGATAAGGTTGCAGGTGGGTTCAGTGTGGTCTTGGGGTACCAAGGATATTGTTGTCCCGGTCGCGAGACAGGTGGCGACTGTGGTGTAGCAACAGTCGCTGGACCAAAAGATGAAGAAGCAACAGTCTGAGATAGAGCTACTGTTGATGATACACTTGGTGGTGGTCCTGACTGAGTTTCATAGAGGCCTGTCATCGCTGAGAGTGGCAGCGATGGTAAGGTTGTTGGCCGGATCCCTGGCTTATGCAGCGCTTGCAGAATCTGGTCTAGAGTATCCTGCATTGCGTCCATTTTACTATCTATGTACGCATGCATGGATAGGACACTTGCCTTCAGGATCTTTCCTGTAGTGTCAAGTGCGGAGTCCTCTTATGCCTCTAGCGCAGCCATGTCTGCCTCCCTGCCCTCTAATCTGACACTTCTTTCTTTTATCTCTTTCTCTCTTTTAGTAGCTTGTCTAAGTTCCTTCGCTAACCTTAAGCGGATCCTCTCTACTTGCTGGAGCTCCATCTGCTCCCGGGTGCGTGGAGGCGGCGAGCTGAGCTGCGAGCCCACCATCTGACTAGTGCCAACCCTTGACGTACTGGAGATTGACTGTGAACTGGTCGGCATGCCTAGCCCTTGACCAGTTGAGTTCGCAGCAGTTGCTGCGGCTACCGCTCTAGCTGCTGCTGCTTCTCTTGCAGCCTCAAGATTACGGGCCCTAGCTTTAGCCCTTAACCTTCTCTCTTCTCTCGGTTGTATGGTCTGGAACACTCTAGGAATTCTAAGGGATGATAGCCTTGTTATCCTCCTATCGTCATTTGCACCTTCACCATTCTCTGATCCACTCATAGGTTAGGCAGACGCTGTCTGCACTAATGTCCTCGCTGGAACCTACCGCAGTATGCGTCTGCCCGGATCTAAAAATAAATAAAATAATAATGTCCGGCGAGTTACCTACCCTACTAGTCAAGCGGCATCAACAGTATCTACACAAACTGTACACATTGTCTAACTCTATTCTGATTAGCCTGCACAGAAGATTCGAGAAGAACTGACTATGGTAGATCACAGTCCTACTCTAGTCTGTCTGTTAGGTGTCAGCAGTCGGTCAACCAACTAATCAAAGAATAAAAACTTAGACTAATGTGAGCAGATGTATGCACAATGGATATGTCAGTGATGTATAGCCGAGTTCACAATTGGAATCCGCTTCTCTTCTATCCAACGTACCTGTGAGCATCATCAAGCTTCGGTGTCTAAGGTGTGCAACCACGACCCACCCCTGTGCCCAAGAAGTATGCTTATGACCAGCCTGCCCCTTTGTTTACCCTCGCGTGCAACGAGCCTTACGTCTGACTGATCTGGCTGATCAGGAGGGATTTAAGGAGAGCCCCCATCTCCTCAGGAATTATTTAACGTCACAAACAGGACGACGATCACAGCCAGTGGACAGTTCAGACCCCAACCAGAAATGTTTATAGACAGTCTGGGAGCGTCTTAATAGGACTGGTCAGTCCTCACACCCCTTCTATCAGCGCAACAAAGAGCCTTAATGGACAAAGCAGCCATCGCATGCGTGTACTAATCCCATTGGGTTGGCATGGTGATCGTGACCCACGTGCTTCAACCAGGGCCCTTCAGAGGCACCGCCCTCTCCTGCCAGATGCGCCACCGGGAAGAATGTTGTCTCTTAAGATAGAGCGCACACGACTCCTTACCAAAGAGAGGACACTCAAGTCGGACTCACTTCCTCACGGTAAGAAGAGATTGAGAGGGTAGATAAGGAATGGGAACAACGTACCTGGAGATAGCACCAATTGGGCTGATGTGCATTTCGATGACCGGTCAATAGCCTCGGTACCACCCACAACGCAATGTAGTGCCACCTCAGCCAAAATGCCACTTCCCACGCTGTCGCCACAGCCTTCCAGCGGCCGACCTCTCTACCTAGGCCCCGCTATTCAACCAGCGCGAAGTATCCTTACTGCACATGAAGCATCGCCAGCGCACGAAGTCACAATGTCGTCGGTGCCAGGTAAGCGGTGATCACAACCAGCTCCGATACCAAATTGCAAGGAATATCAGAGTGAGCGATATACATAAAACCAAGTTGCGAAATCACACAGCTGAGCAAGTAGTAGTATCCCAATTAGAGAGTACAAATGCATCGAGAAAACCATCCATAAAGAGCAATACAATGAAGTATTGAGCCAATGTCCAAGGCCGTAGGCCACACCAACACAGTATCCAGAGTCGCTCTCTCTGTCTGGTGCACAGCGCCCAGCCTACTCTACCACACTATCCTACTCTACAACTGGTTCACACAACAGGATCACTTCGGCTCACGAAGACCAATGTACATGACTGTCAACACCATCGGCGACCTCTCTTCATGTACCAGGTACGTATCTCGTCACCCTCAATCAGACCTTGATTATCCCACACAACGCCTCACTCCCTATAGACCACCCGATCATCCGCTGTACCCCCTGGCGCCTAGCAGCCCGGCTATGGCCACCTGCGCCCCGCTGCCCTGCAACGCCCCTCTCACCACCTAGCGCTCCGTCAGCGCCCCTAGCATTAGCGCAGCATCAAGCAGAAGCGCAGCAGCACTTCCGCATTGCCAGTGCTGGCCAGTGTGCCTACCCTGGGCTGCCTCACTTACTTTATGGAAGTGGCAGCCTGCTGGATCCTGCGTGTGGCCTGGAAGCTTCCAGTAGCTTCCGGTTGGGCCTCGGACCCTGTGCTCAGGCTGAGACTTAAAGTTGAGGGTCTGGGCCCTTTACAGTTGGGCGCGGCCTGAGTCTCCGGACTTGGGCTGTTAACTGCATCTGCGCAGGGCCCCTCAGTAGATGTGTCGGCTGTACTGCTTTTCCAAAGGCCGACGGCAATGTATCGGCCCTGCTTTGTGTGTAGGTGCCTAGGCACAACTTTCGTGGCCTGGGCCAACTGTACGACGCAACTTAGTGAGGCTCGCGCGTTCGCTCAACCAACTGACGCGCTGCAAGAGCCTGAATACCCACATATGGAAATGTCGAATTTTGGCCTGTGACGAATATTCAGGCCCGCCTTCACTTAGGACGGGCACTTGGCTTGCTGGGGCCTTAGCCCAGAACATGCGATGTCTGATAGGGCCCCTTGAGGGCTTGTTCCTCACAATTCATAAAGTAAAGATCAATTCATTCAATGAATCCATTGCAGTACATTGTGTTTGAACTAGTATTTTAGATTCTGTGTATATTTCATTATATTATGGATATCTATTCAGTAATTGCACGCGGTCAAAGATACAATTATCCTCCCACTGCTTGAAGGCCTACGGTTTCATGTTCTCTTTCACTCCCCTATGGGGGTTCTTTTCACCTTTCCCTCATTGTACTTATCTTTGAAGTTGTATTGATTTTTAAAGTTGATAAATACTGCTTTAATCAGAGATAATAATGCCTACTTAACTCAGTGGTTCTGCTATTGCTATGGCTTTTATTTTTGTTCAGATTGAAAAAGAAGAGATTGTTTAATTTATGTATTTTCACTTGAGTTTATAGCTATAAACTCAAGTGAAAATACATAAATTAAATTCATGAATATATTTGTGTTCTATCTCTTTATATTTGTATGAGATTCTATGTTCAATAAATCTAGTACATAAAAGTATTTGATTCAAATTTTATCAAAGAATGAATTTTGTTTATATTTGATTTTCTATATATAATTGATATAATCAATGAATGATAATTGAATGAATTTCTTCGTGTGAAATGAAACAAAATGTACATCTAGAAAAGTTTCCTATTTCTAGTCACCTAGAAAGTAAGGCAACGAAATTGCCTTAGGCGAAAACAATGCACGCTCTTGCGCCTCATGTCACCATGAGGATTGGACCATATCATCACAATTGGTAGTTTTCGTGCGTCTGGCGTATGGCCTCTGAGGATCGATAGCTGATTTACTCTATCCACTCGAGTGGCCTTTCTGTCGTTTTTCTCGGTAGTGTTAGTTGACTATTATTACTCGGTTGGGTGTCATGTTGCGGTAGGATTCAATATGGGTTCTAGTTCATATCACACACCACTGTAGCTCATGAGTGAAGCAGTTAGTAGTAAGGACGAGGAACGATTAGCGGAAGATCTTAGAGTTACTCGCAAAACTGCTCTCATTTCCATGAGTTAGGTCGAGGAGAGGAAAGGAGGCTGTGGAGGGAAGTCAGGGAAAGGGTGGTATTACGGAGGTCTAGGGCAGCAGCAGCCAGCGTTGAGGCTGCAATGACCTTGTCCCAATGCTCTTCGTCAGGAGTTAGTCAGGGTGTCTCTTAGGGTTCTGTTTGTCAGTTTGTTGGTTCACAAGCAAGCCAGCAGTCTCGTATCACGCCAGCGGATTATGAGATCCTCCAAGCGGAAGCCCTTCATGATGAGTTGCAGCAGCAGTTGAGGGAAGCAGGAGCGAGAAGAGAAAAAGCAATATTGAGAAAAACTAGACTAGGAACTACGAGGCAGGAGTTAAGAAGACAAGAAGCACTGGACGATTCAACATTGGATCCTGCGATTCAGGCGCTGCGTCACTCGCTTCTGTGCGTGGCAGAAACGCAGGTTGTTCAACAGGAAGTGTTGGCTGAACTAGTGGTAGGGAAGAACCGAAGTCTGGCTGCACTGCAGGCTCCTTGCCCAATGTTGAGGCGGCCTCAGTATTCTATAGCTCCCCCTTTGGTTGCAGTGATCGAGGCCAATCCAACCCATGCAGTGGATGTCCAAGATTTTCTTGTTGAGTCCTAAACCTTTCTTTGGAGACAAGAAAAAGACGAGTTCCTGGACACTTGGGTGAGGACTGTGCCTACCTATGTGAGGCACAAACTCACAAGACTAGAGTAGGAAGTTGTAGTTGCTGCTTCCTTTTCTGAGGCGATGGTTTAATGGTCTAGTGCAGCAACAGGGCTATGGTCAAAACTTTGATGCCTGGGCCCAAGCCTAGACATTGGAGGACTTTGCATGGACTGTGTACAATAGGTGGCATGACCCTCAACGGGCCCAAAAGGCCACTGATGCACTATTCACTCTCGGTTCCAAACGGTATTGGACAGTGCGTGAAGTCTCGGACGTCGTAGAATGTTTGATCGTGATGCCTGGTGTGCGATATGACCCTCAGGTACTCCCCACAACATATCTGAGATGTCTGCCTACAGACGGTGGACGAGGCCTCCATCGATGTGCATAACTTCGCTACCTTCAGCAAGAAAGCCTTAGATATATAGGCTAAACTTGGGACCCGCCTCCATCGATGTGCATAAC